TCCATACGGCACCTTTCGGTGAAATCTCCATCTCCCTGTCTGTTTTATTACAGGCATCCAAATCGCCAAAATTCCATTGGGTTCTATTCAAAGATCGGGTCCATGTGTGTTCTCCCTCTGTTGTTTCAGCCCCTTGTGTTTTGTTGTCAAAACATTGACATTCCGCCCGCCTCGAGGCAGACATTGACCCGAGACCACGCGACCCGCATCTGGCCAGACCATGCCCTGTTTCTCCCCCTTCCACTGCTGCAACGTTCGGTTGCAACATTACAAGGGTGGCTGGAGGTCATTGCTTGCTCAGACAAGAGCGAGGCAGAGTGCGTCCTTTGGATTCCGTGTTGCAGTGTTGCAGTCAACAGAACAGACCACTCCTGTGACCACTTCTGTTCCTCGTGCGCTCTGGCACTCCTGCCACAGCTCCTGGCTGCTGCTCCCATTCCAGCTCCTCCTGTGCGTCCGTTCCCGTTCCCCTTCCATTTTTTTTGCTTCTTAGTGTCAATGACAGTTTGTCAACAGTCCCTGGTACCCAGGAATCGTCCCACCAGCATACAGTCGTTCTCTCATTAGCGCAGCTTTATCGCCAGCTAAAGCCAAAGGCAAACAGTGGTCCAAACCGTCGCCAGGCATCACGGGAGACGAAAGGCACGCAAAAAGCAAAAAAGCAAACGGCAAAAAGAGGCCAAAAGCAAAAACACGGCCTGGGAGCTGAATGCCTGGGACCGAATGCCAGAGAGCCAGAGAGCCAGCCGCCAGCAAATGAGAAATGTTGTCAACATCTCCTCTGGAAGCTCAAACATTTACCCATGCGATAAGATTGCGCATGGCATCGCACCGCCGCCCTGCCTCCTCCCTTCCACCTAACAACACCCCCCCCTCTCTCTCTCTCTCTCTTGCGTAAATATTTAGAGATCCGATAAAGCTAGAACCCCACCCCAGTCCCCCAGACTCCAGGCGTCGAAAGTTGGATAACATTCGAATGCGAAAATTCGAAATGCGGGAAAGGCCTGTCGCCAAAAAGAGAACCAGAGTTTAATAAATCGATATTTATCGATTGATCTGTTAAGAGATCAAAGCTGGAGATCATAGATCAAAACAGAGACAAAGGGGACTGGAAATGCAGATATCTAACCATGGAAAATCGATCAAAGATGGCACAAAACAGAAGCGAAGACCTTACAAAAATGCAATAAATCGTGTTTATCGATCAAGGATATTGCCACAAAAATTAAAGAAATTCCCAAATGGACAAATAGGACACCCTGTTACGAAAGTTGAATAATCCAGCAACTCAGCAATCAATATATTGATATTATAAACGCTCTCTGCTGTCCTTCTGTTCTGCATTTCTGCCCAAGGCCTGAGATTTCGGGTGCTCCAAAGGGAGGCTTTGCTTTGGGAGGATACCATTTGATACCCTGGAATATCGGTAGGAGATCTTTGCCAGATACTCATCCACTCAAGAGGAGCTATCGCTGCACATCCATTGGGAATCGGCCATGGGTATCGACGAATCTCCTCTCTTGCCGGATATATTTGAATTTTTTGAGCGATTGACGCTTACGCTTTCAACGCCAGACACAGATCGCGGGATTCCAGCAGCAGAAGCAGCTGGAACTGGGGAGGGAGGAAAGAGCAGGGGATCGGCAGCAATCGGATGTCTATTTTAAGATCCCTGCCGCACTTGGATGCATCCATCCCATCCCAGTGGATCCTCCCTCGTCCTCGCCTGCTAATAGATCGTAGCAATAATTTAATGGACATCTTGTCCCGCTCTCCGCTCCCTTCGATCTCTCTCCCTCCCTCTGATTCCACGGATCGACAGGGACCGGGACAGATGCCGGTCTCTGGATCGGCGTCGGCCTCTCCAAGAGCATGTCCATATATGTATGTAGAGCGTGCCCCAGCCCCAGCCCAGCCCCTGCCCCTGCCTCTGTCCCTGTCTCTGCCTTAATGCCTCAACCCACATATGGCATGGCCCTGGACTTGGATTTATATTTAGTTTGCTTCCTGCTTTTGCCACTTGAGATGGGAAAAATGTGGAAAAGAAAGGAAGGGAGGAGTACCAGGGAGGAGGCAGGGCAGGGCATGTCTGTCGATCGTTTCGTTGAAAATTGTATCGATTGCACTTTAATTCTACTCTTCACTTGGCTCTGCACTCCTCTCTCTTTCGACTCTCTTTCTCTGGGTGATTTATGGTGAACATTTCCATCCCACACTCTTTCGTTTCTCCCCTTCGTGCGAGAAATCATAATTTCGTGCGCCATATATCATACAGTAGTGTGTGTGTGTTTTGGGTCTCCAAAATTAGTCAACGGAATCATCTTCATCTTTCTTTTTGTTCTTTTTTCTTAATAGATGCCCCAAAGCGGAGTCTGAGCAACATGCCCCTGGGGCACGTGAGGCCTTAATTAAGAAAGAACATCAAATATAATTCCTTGCTCAAAATGTACAAAAATAAACCCAAAAAATAGAGCTTCCCCCTGCAGATGGTTCCATCGGATGACAGATAATGCTTCTTTCCAGAGCATCGATCGATACTCCGCGATAACTGTAATCGATCGATATTCCGCGATAACCCACTTATGGCAGGTTCCATGCCCTGGACTTGGATTTATCTCTGTTTTCGAAAACCTGTAAAGCATTTGAAAAACAGTGGAGCAAATATTGCGAATATGTGGAAAGTGAAAAGCGATGTTTTTCTTTCTTTGGGAGAGACACAAACCGCAGGAACCGCGAAACATGAGAACCCCGACAGGGGGATGGAGTGGGGTCTGAGGCTGCGTAATTAATCAAATCTGTTTCACACACAATTCCAATTCCAATTGCCATTCCAATTGAAGGCCCCCATCCGTTTGAATGCTAAATTAATAGAGACAACAGCTCCACACAAAACTATCCATCTCTCTCTCTCTTGTTGTGAGTGTGTCGTCTCCCCAAGGGCCGCCACGAAGTATCTTTGTATCTGTGTATCTGTGTGTGTTTGCAGTCTGGGTGTCTTGGTGTCAGTCGGTCGTAGGGCTTCTTTTCCTTCTTTCCTTCTTTTACAATGTATCTTTAGGTGGGGTGGAAAACCTCTTAACCCCAAAGATGCGATGATCTCAAACATATTTTGTCATATGCTAATTTCAATTAAGATCTATGTATCTTCCACCATAAAAAAGTACTGCATTCCGTTGTTGTCTGATCCCCAATTGTATTTTGCACTTTGAAGGCAATCGATATGATGGATGTGCCGCAGCAGGGGTTGCCGCTCTAGTTTCAGGTTCCTCCACTCCACTCCACAGCACTGGCAGGCCTTCCTCTTGCTTCCCTTCCCCATTTGGAGGGAGGCCTCTGCCAATCAATTGTTACCCCCTTTTACGAGCGAGAGTTATTTTATCGCAGATTTCGCAGATTTGGAGCAATAAACTTTTACGAATAAATAACGTAGGGTGCGGGAAGTGAACAGAGGGAGAGACGGAGAGACAGGAACAGAGAGAACAAGCGATGACAATAACCGTTTGGTCACTTGGTCACTTTAACAGTTAGAGAGGGAGAGAGAGCAGAGGAGTAGAAGAGCAGAAGAGCAGGCAGAGCTAACAGTTTGATAGAGCAGAGGCAGAGGAGAAGCAGAAATGAGCAGAGCAGAGCCATGGACAGAGACAGAGACAGAGGCAACGGCAGAGGTAGAGGTAGAACGAAGTTTAATTGACGTTTGAAAATGCTAATTAGGTTCGATGGCTGCTTGAAGAGAGCGCGAGAGACAGGGACGGAGACAGAGCCAAACCGTAACAAAAGAAGAACCCAAAAAAGTAGAGCCAAACGGTTCTTTGCATATTTCGAGAACTTAATCACACATAGTAAATACATACGTATGTATGTACATATGTGTGCATGTGTGTAAATCTTCATCTGAGATTTTTCGAGTTCCTGGACAGCAAATTTGGCAGTGCAAGCGCCCGCGCGTGCTTCACCGGGCAGGAGGGAAGGAGATTCAATTTCTGATGACTCTTGTTTATGTTTTAGCTTCGGTTTCACTAGGCAACCCGTCATTACAGCTGTGGGAAGGTCTGTACATGTGTAGGCACAGATAATACGATGGATGTATCAGATAACGGCATTAAGTTTGATGTGCCCCAAAAGTGCTCTTTAGCTTTAGCCAAGTGCCTTCATACCGCATCAAGCAGAAAAACTATTGCATTACCATTGAAAAAAGAGTGCAAACATACGGCCTGTAAGGGATATCCGCACTCTGATGCGTTACATATGTATGTATATTTTGCCTTCGGTCTCCTTCCAGCCTTCGCCTCCACCTCTGCCTCTGTCTCTGATGCTGCTTTGCTGCTTTTCTCTCTCGTCTCCTCTTTGGCAGCAGAGCGTAACGCGACGCACGCGCCGCTTTCGGGCAGCAGCGACGGCAGGCGACGCAAAGGAATTTTATGCGCAGGCGCAGCCCCAAAAAGGCCAGCGACTTTTGTCTTCTGCTGCTTCCTCCGCATGCTGCGCGGCTGTTGTTGCCTTGGTATTCGTTTTTGTTTTCAAGTAGGAGGACAATCCGCCTCGGATCCCGTTCCCACACTCTCAGCAGGAACCAGGCAAAGAGCAGGATGGAGACGGAAGGGAAGGGAAGGGAAGATCGACTGCAGATGGTCTCGGGTAGATGATAATTTGTATACCCTATACACCTACTCGCAGCATCCGAGAGAGCGGCTCCCACAGTAGTTTAACCACTCTCTGGCACACAGATCAAGAGAGCAAGGTATTTTTATGCAAGGTGACGCATTCCAAATATTGCTAATAAAATTCAACTAAAGGCCCCACCTTGCATTCATGCACCCCGCACACTGACCACACCACAAGTAAAAGCAAAAGCAAAAGCAAAAGCAAAAGCAAAAGACCAGTAGCAGAAAGGAGAGAGCAAAAGGCAGAGTGAAGAGCGTGACAGAGCGGGCCAGGCAATCCTGATCCGAGTTCAATGTCAAGTTCAGTGTCGTTCATTCGACAAATTTCGTGATTTCATCGAAACTTAGATCCCTTCGCCTAAAACTTATATCATTTTCGGGTGCTCACAGTTATCAGAGCCCTTGAAAAACCTAGAGCCTATACAAAAAATAATTATACAAAATAATTTGTTCAGAAAGAAATAGAACAACGGGCTTTCCGAATTAGGAAGGGCTACTGCAGATGGTAAGTTTGTATGGTTTGGGTGGGGGGCCCTGAGGTCAGAAGTTATAGCCCTATTTCAACCCAACAGAACTTGCGGCGGATAACACATTCCCTAAAAGGAACACCGCGCCTATTGGTGACTGACTAGAACAGGATAAGGCGAAGAGTAAGTTTGAATTTTATTTAGTTTGCTGTTGTTCTTGTGGTTTCTGCCATAATGTTGTCATCGGGCCCAGCCGCCTGGCAACTGCTTTCCGCGGTCCCTCAAGCGATAAGTGCCACACTATACAGATTTATATCTCGCGGCGTCCCGTCCTGTCAAGGACGCACTTATCCCGGGGCGAATCTTGATGGGGGGAGGGGCCTGGACAGAACCTGGGTAGGAGGGGTGCGTCACGCTTATGACGTGAGTCATCCAAAAAGTGGTCAGAAAGGGAACCCTGGTGGAGCGGAACGAAGTACAGAAACGCGTTACCCGAAAAGAGCTTTAAAAGGGTTATTAATGATGGCAGGGGGATTAATGGCGGGGGAGGGGTCGTTATGCAAGAACTCGTGACACAACGGATCTGCTGGATCGCGGCCTCTCCCTGTCTCTTTTTGTTTTTTTTTTGTTTTTGTTTTGCGAATTCTGTCATTTCCTTTTATTTCGTTTTCTTTTTATCTACAAAAAATATCCGCAGGGCGCCATTAGGACTACGCTGCCGGCGTCGCCCTGCTTGCTCTGCTGGGACGCTCCCGTTAGTGGTAGGACGGTTTTATTTCGTGGTGGTGGGCAATATGCCGCCAGCAGCAGAAGGGCAGATGCGAGAGGCGATGAGGAGGGAGTTTCATTAGCACACATTTTAAACTAGCTAAGTAATTAAACACGCGAGATTATCTTAGAACCAGTCTAGTCTCTATCCCTATCGCTCTCCTCCATGGCCTACACAGCACGCAAATTTTTGGCCAGCAGCAACACCGCCTACAGAGAGCGAGCGTCCCTGGCTGCTGCACACACACACACACGCACTCGGAAATTTTTATTGATTTTTCACACACAAACACACAATGACACACAGGAGTTTCGTGGAGATAACGGAGGAAAGGCAATACAAATGGACAAACAAATAAAAACAACGATATGCAATTTCTCAACCGTTTCACTACGCCCCGCTCCTCTTCACACAGAATAAATAACACTTACTGCACTCGTACTCTTCGTTTCGTTGGGTCTTCTCTCTCTCTGTGTTTTTTTGTTGCTTTCCTTTGGCTCCTTGACAAAATTTCAGCACACGCCCTAATTTGGCCGACGGAGGGGGCTGCCGCTGGCGCCAACGAGAGGATCCACCGGAGGACACCTATAAACAAAAAGAGACGCACACACACTCGCAAAAAAAGTGCAGGACACTCCCGTTACCGTGCCCGCTGGCTCTCACGTTTTTCTCCGCTGCTGAACGGTTGTTGGAGCGGCCGCGCCAAATCACTTTTATTAGATTAAACAATTGCACAAAGTCATTTCTATTGCACTTTTCGATGCGCGGCTAAGGATTTGAACCCACGTATAAGCGAAGTTTTTTTTTTTAAGTTCGAGCGAATTTCGTAGTTTTTAAATTTGTTTATCGACGCGCGCACAGCTACCGCTCGCTTCATTTGACGGAGGATTCGCGTTCACCAAGCATCTTCCTGTGGGGTGTGTGGGTTGTTGCGGCCGCGGGCCGAGACAGATTGGGGCGGCAAGGCCGTGTACCAGTGTGACCGCGGACTTATCGATAAGAACGCGAACTTAGCCCACATAAGCCCCCTCCATTTAAAAAGTTCAACTACTTGAGGTAAATGGCGGAATATATTAACGATTGTAAATTCTTCTTGTAGATTCATGCCATCTTTCATCTGAACTTAAAAATAACCACGCTAACTTTCACCTCAACTACGCTAACATTATTAAATTTTCATTATTTTCGGTGGAAAATTTAAATACCCCCTTGGATTGCATGGGTTAATCGTTCTCCGTCAGTATTGGAACGCATATTGCTCAATTTGGATGTTCCGTCGAATATTACTAGCTAGATAGAACATTTAGTCATGTCCACCTAATTTTATCCGATTAATGAATCAATTTTCTACCTGATTGACTACTTCTAAGTACCCTCTTTTGTTGTATAGTGTAGAGAACAAGGTTTAAACAAAAAAGGTCAACAAAAAAACAGTGGCAACGTAAGTGAGTATGAAATGTCACGCCCACCGGAGTTTGGCTCAGCTATACCCTATTTCGTTAATATGTATATATGAAGAAACTGTTTTTCCAAGCTGTTTTAAAACATAATTAATATAGAAATGATTTCAGATTGTTGTGTGTTGGACATATTAATGCATATGATTAGGGTGTTGTAAATATATCTCAATCCCAATACCCATTCTTCGTTTCTGTAAGAAGACTAAAATCTTTAAAATATCGTTGAAATACCTTTAAAGCAGAAACTGAATAGTTTGGCCTTCATCATTAGATGACAAACATTCTCTCAGTTCTATAATATCCACTTCCCAGGGTATGCAAAATGTTGCTCAATCCGCGCAATGTTGTGGAACAATGCTGCTGGATTTCACGGCACATGAGTTTGGCCCATACAAATTGAATGTTGCCAGCAGCATAGCATGAGTGTGGAATGTAGGGACATTGTTGAGCTGAAAAGGGACATTGTGGCGAGGAAAAATCCCTCCACGAAGAGAGGATATCCCATCAAAAAATGGAGAGTAAGTCCCAAAGAAAAGAGAGCAAGTCCCAATCAAATCTACGGTCTCACTCTAAAAAATACCGAAAATGTATCATATTCCTCGTTTTTGATCTTCCGTCGAATACTACAAGCTATATAGAACATTTTGCCATGCCCACATAATTTTATACGATTCATGAATAATTTTTCTACTTAACTGGTTTATTCTAAATACTTGCTTTTATTGGATTTCTTTATAACGTGGGAAATGAAATTTAATAGATTGATTAAACTGGCAAAATATACCATTGTATACCGATATACCGTAAATATACCGTCGGTTAAATTTTGACCTCAAAAAATATCGAAAAGTATTAAAAATACCGTAAACGGTCACCCTGCCGTTTACTTTCCAACCAGTGTGACCGCGGAGTTATCGATAAAACATATACGGTCCGACTCTCAGATATATACTAAAATATAGCTTCTCGTTTAAAAAATATACCGAAAATATACTGACGAATTCAAAGTATATTTTAAAAATTAGTGTTGCCCGATGTTAAACGATGTTTGCCTTTTGACTTATCGAAAACATCGATAGCACCTAACAAAAGGGCGTTAAAGTTAAAAATGAATTTAATAAGACCTAAGAAGCTATCTTAATTTAAGGGAAATACTCGGTGGGGCAGGGGTTTGACCAGGTGGCAGCGCTGGAATTTGAAATGTATTTTGTATATTTGAATGTTTTAAGTAAAGTTATCATTGATTTTAGCTTCAAACTAAACATAAGCAACCACTTTACAACTTTAGTTCAAATTGAAATTTATTCGAGCTCAAAATCATAGTTTAAATAATAATTCTTTTTCTAGCCAACCCTTGATTGGCCTTGCGTTTACGAGCTAGGAACTGATACAGTGACACAGTGAGGTGAGATTGCATTGGTGGGGGTTTCTCAGAGGTCTAAAGTATAGCTTAACACCCAACAGATCTACTAAAAGTTATACAATCATGGATTCGGAGGAGAATGGCGGCTACATGTACAGCTGTGAGTCGTGCGAATCAAAACACATGCTCTCGAAACAGGGTACAGGATCGGTTGGATCTGGGTCCGGCTCATCGCAATCAACCAACGCGGTGCATGCATCATCTTCATCTATATCAGATGGGAGCGCTTCAGGGTATTGCATGCAGGATAATGAAACAGATTCGGATAATTCAGACGATATGAATTCGATGGACTTGAGGCATTGGAACTTTGTGGAACACTTTAAAAAGGATCCGACTGGTTTCCTCGATGAAATTGTCGAACGTTATATACATCTGAACAATGTGGTCAAGTTGAAAAGTAATGCGGCCAAAAAGGAAAAACAGATTCTGTCGAACGAGAAGAAGATGAACAGCGATCTGCGCCAAGAGCTAGAGAATTGTAGAAAGAGTCTGGAGAGTGTGAGCACCACCTGCCGCAACTTGGCAGCTGAAAGTCAACATTTTATGGGGGAATTGGAACGTGCCAGGCAGAAGTTTTACGAACAGCGCTCTGAACAAATGCAGGAGCACAACGGAGTTTGTGCCGTCCTCCGAAGCGAATTGCAGCAGGCCCAAGAGATGTGCCAGAGCCTGGCCGATGAAAAAGAAAAGCTCGTCGAAGAGGTAGACTTCTACAAGAGTCTGGGAGAGGGAGAGAGAGCGTCCGGCGGCCCCAATCGGAAATACAAATTACTTTGTGCCGCTCTTAAAACCGAGCTCCACCATAATCAAACTGTTATTCAGGACTTGGGAAAGTACAACGAAGACTTAGAGGAGAAAGCCATCGGTGCGACCGAAGAAATGCAGAATCTGAGCGCTGAAAATGAAAAGCTTCAAGTGGAACTGAAGTTCTACAAGAACCAGTACTTTGACGAGAACTCCGAGGAAGTGCAAAAGAACAAAGAACTGCAGCAGGAACTCACAGAGGTGCAATCAAATTTCAAGAGCCTGGCCACTGCCAATGAGAAGCTTTTAAAGGAAATAGAGATCTACAAGACTGTCTTTTACAAAGACAAATTGGCGGCGAATGAGAAAGTCAAGGAATTCTGTCGTAAACTCCAAGGAGAGCTCCTCGAGAAAAATAAAACTCTTGAGAAAGTTCGTTCCACGAACGAAAAGTTACAAGACAAAGTAGGTCACATGAAATTAATGTTGAACCGCTTGGACCTCCATTCAAAGGGACTCAAAATAGCCCTCGATGAGAACTCTGAACTTGAAAAGCGGATGGTTGTGCAAAAGAAGGCCATAGAGCTACTCGAATCTCTGAACGCAAAGTTACGTGCGGATGCCACAAATACACGCGATTGCTTCAAGAAGCTGAGGGAAAGCTTTAAACTTGAACTGGCCAAAAGACAGGTCCACAGCTGTTCAGAATGCTCACGGCAGGGGGAGGGCGAGGGCGATGGGGCTGGTGCTGGTGCTGGTGCTGACCACGAGCATGGAAAGAACCAAAAACTGCACTCCCTGCTCATGAAGATGGTCCGTCATGTGGATAAGCTGTCCAAAATAAGCCGCACCGCCAACACCAGTCCCAGCAGCTCCAGCAGCAACATCTCGATGTCCCAGATTCTAGGACGGAACCACCTGAAGATGGACCCCGAGGAGGTACTAGAAGATGTGTTCAAGACATTCTGTGACTTGGCCACCGACTACTGGGTGACCCAGATGCATCCTATGCAATCGATGGAGGCCAGGCCATCGACTGGAAGCTGTCGTTCATCAGACGATGAAAATTAACTGGAAACTCATCAGCAATAATGCAACCTACAGTACAGTACATCCACTATACACTACACTACATACAATACATATACACAACTAGAGTTTGTCTATACATGTACTATTGTTATATTTTTTACGATTTATGAACGGGGACATCTATGTACCCAGACACCCCACTATACCAGCAATGTATCATTCAAATTCACCATTGTACTATTTTGTATTCACACAGTTTTTCAAAATTAATTATCAAAATTCAACGCGCCCAGTGGGAAAACTAGTTCCAAGGAACCAGAACTTGGTGGTGGGTGCATATACATATTGAATTGCAATAAATTGAGCTCTTTTCCTGGTTAAATTGTGCAACCGCCATTTTATTGTACAGCAGTTAATACTGTTGCAGAACAACCACTCGGTGCAGCGTGGCTGAGTGGTGCTCCTATTCATCCTGAATGCCCTTGAGAGCACTATTGTCGTCCGAGGCCTTCTGCTGCAGTTGGTGGTGCAAATGGAGATGCCAGGTCAAGCGAGTCTTGTGGGGGAAAACCTTTGATGGTTAAATGGAGGCTGTCTCAATTAAAGAACAACTTCTTCGATGGTAACATAGGTTTTTGAACCGATTGGAATTGGAGGAGGCACTGGAGGGAGGTTTCCCTGTCGGGAATTGGATTCCCATCGATTCCAATAGAAAATTGGTAGAGACTACTGTGGTCTTGTGGCTTATTGGTGTCCCTATAGGGGGAGAAAGGAAGCTTGCATTGTGGGTTACCCCATTTTGGTTAAACATATTTTATACCAGTTCGTGTGTATCTGTGGGTTCTCTTAACTTTATCAATAAATCTTTTATTCAAAAATTCTAGTTACAATACAATACAATACATATAGATATACATAGTACTTGTATCATAAAACCACGACGACTCTTTATGTTGGTTTCTTGACACCGGATGACTGACTCTTACAGCCTATGCCACACTTATGACTACGGGATCTGGATCCCTGGAAAACACCACCACTCGATCCCGATCCGGATCCTGATTCCGGCGGAGGAGCAGAGAAAGAACAGTGACTACAATAAATACACACACACATACGGATACGGATACGGATACGATAACGATTACGATTACGATTAGGATAGTTTGGATACCCCCTTGGCAGGGGGACGGGACAGAGGGGAAACATATGTACACATATTTATATTTTTGTCTGGTGTAAGTATCTAGGAGGAAGGGATCTTGACGGGCAGGAAGAGTCGCGGATCGCCGATCTTGGGACTCAGGCGCACCACCACTTGATCATCGCCGTCACCGACCTCGAGGAAGGAGTTCCAGTCCGCCAGGAAGTAGAAGCCGTTCTTTTTCTTTGCAGGCGGCGGATCCTCGGTGACTGGATCCGGCCCAAAGGAGTCCGCTAGATCATCGAGCGAACCATTGCGTGACTCCTCCGTAGAGTTGTTCGAATCGGAGGGAGATGGCGATGGCGATGGCGACGATGATGATGATGATGATGATTCTATGGTGGATCCTGTGTCCATGTCTCCGTCGTCCAGTCCCAGACTCAGGCTGATCCGTGTGGGGGCTTGGGTGGTGGTCTCTGCTTTCTCTGTGGTGGTGTTGGCTTCGCTCTGACGTCTCGACTTGAAGGTTTCGTTGCTGTGGCCGTCCTGCAGTGACTGCAGATAGACGGCATCCTGAGACTGTGGCTGTGCCTGTGGTTGTGGCTGCACCCGATCCAGACTCACGTTGAGCTGCTGCAGCTCCTGGAGATTGCTAATCAAACGCTGCAGTTCGCTGAGGTTCGCCGTCTCTCTCTTCTCCGGCTGTGACTCTTGCTCCGGCTTTGCCAGCTGATAGTTGAGTTCACTGAACTCGGCCATGAGATCGCCATCGAGGACACCCTCCCGTCCACCATCCTCCATGTCCAGATCTTCGGCCGCCGCATCCTCATCGTCGCTGCGTCGTCGGAATCCCTGCCCCATCCCCATTCCCAGGGGCAGGGGCTGCTCTGTGGACACACCGATCCGGTTGGCCGCTCGCTTGATGGCTGCCTCTATGATCTTGGTGGCACTGAACACGGGCAGCTCCACGCTGCTTTCCGTCGTGTGCGTGGCTGGTCGTCGTGGTCGCGGTGACGCCGGCTTGATGGTGGTCAGCGAGAAGACCGCCGGCGAGGAGGAGTCTACCGTCTGCAGTGGTGCTGGTGTCGTGGTCGTGGTCGTGGTTGAGGTCGTCGTCGACTGCAGCTGGCTCTCGAGCTGCTGGGAGAGCTCATGGGGCAGGGACACGCCCAGCTTCTGGAGCTGCTGGGTATTGTACAGCAGCTTCTGCAGCTCCTCGAGATCGGCCTGTCTTGGGCCGGGTGTCGTGGGATTGGGTCTCCTGGCCGGCACAAAGCGTGGCGCTGAAGGAGTCACCGGCAGAGGTGTGGGTGTTGCCGTGGGCGTTGCCGTGGGCGTCTTGTAGATGGGCTGCATGTGGTGGTAGCTCTGTCGCTCGCCCGTATCCTCCAGACTGCCAAAGAACTGCTGGCCAAAGGCCTGGTCGGTGGAGGATGATCCTTTTTGCGGATGAGCCGGCTGTGACATGGCCAACTCGCGCAGCTCCTCGCTGGAGCTCTGCTGAGCGCTGGCTGCAGGCTTCTGGTACACTGGCAGATCCAGCTTCAGCTCCGGCTCTGGCTCCATCTCCGCCACGGACTGGGCATACACGATGTGGGCCCCATTCAGACTCTTCACGTTCGGAGTGCGCACAGAGGCGGCGGTGGCAAGCTGTGGAGGCGACGGTTGGTGGTCCGTCTGGAGCTGCACTCGCTCTAGCTCCTGGACCTTGCTGAGCAGCTTCTGCAGCTGCACGTAGTCCTGCGGCTGCACTTCCTGCAGCAGTCCGTTGCTCCTCTCGAAATGGCTCAGCGGTCGCTGTTTGGATGTGGAGGCGGCTGTGGAGATCTCTACCTGGCCAAACGGAGTCGTCGATGTGGGTGAGAGTTGCTGGATTTGAGCAAAGTCGTTGCTTGCCAGGCCAAGGCCTCCGGCTCTGTTTCCTTCTCCTGCAATGGCCTCTGATCCGGCCACGTTCCGGGTGAGAAAGTTCGGGGTCGTTGGCTTTGGCTGCTGCAGTCGCTCCAGCTGCTGGACCCTCGTGATTAGCGCCTCGAACTGGGCATGGTCCACTGATGCTGTCTTGGTGGTGCGCGGTGTCGTGGTGGTGCTTGTGGTGCTTGTGCTCGTGGTGCTGGTGCTGGTACTGGTACTGGTGGTGGTGCTCTTTGGCTGCTTTCTTTTTGTGCTTCTTGCCTGCTCGTAGAGTTTCTCCAGCTCCCGGTCGTCGCTGAGGAGGCGCTGCAGCTGGAGAAGATCTGCGGCGCCCAGGGAATTGGCCTGACTGAGGCCCAAACCCAGACCCAGACCCAGATCGAGGGGTCTAGGCTTCACGGTGGTGCTGGTCGCTGGTGCTCTCATCCTCTCCAGCTGTTGGAGCTGCCGCAAGATCAGCTGCAGATCGCGAGCATCGCTAGCTGGTGTAGTCCGTGGCGGAGGAGGTGGAGGAGGAGGCGTTGTGCTGGTGGTGCTGGTGGTCGAAGAGAAACGGTTACTGAGGGTCTGGACACCTGGATTGGAATTGGTTGCCTTCAGCACGTTCTCCGGATTGATCTTGAGCTTCTCCAGCTCCTGGAGATTCTGCAGCAGCTTCGACAGCTCGTCTGAGCGGCTGCCCGTTGCCTGGTGGTTCCCTGCATTGGCAAAGTTGATGTCAATGTTGGGATCGATGCGTCTTCTTGGCTTCTTCGCCTCAATGAGCAGTGGCTCCCCATGGGTGATGAGCTGCACTGGCGCTGGTGTCGTTGTCGTTGTCGTTGTCGTCGTCGTCGTCGTGGTGGTGCTGGCAGTGGTTGATGTGCTCGGTTTGGTGGTTGTCGAAGCCTGTTTCCTTTTGGGCTGCGACTGTAGCCGCTCCAACTCCTGCAGATTCTCCAGCAGTTTCGCCAGCTCTGCATTGCTCTGCGGCGGCAGACGTGCCGTCGCCGTCGAGAGTTCCGTATGGGCGCCCGCTGGCTCCTCCGTTGGCGGGGCACTCTTCTTCAGGGACTTGGGTGCCTTCTTCACAATCCCGAAGCGCGTGAGGTAGCCCTCAACCTCGGGCTTCACTCGCAGCTCTTCGCCGATGTTCAGGGGCTTGAAGTTGGAGTAGGCATCCGGCCGGATGCGGGCACCCTGGAGGCCACGCAGATCCGCCACCGCCACCACCGCCGGCTGTGGGGCACTCTCCGACGGATAGTAGTCATCCATGGCGTACCGCTTGTGGGTCGAATCGCCTTCCGCATGGTGGCCGGACCCGGACACAATGCCCAGGCTCTCGAGAATGTCCGCCACGGGCTTGACCGTGCTGGATGTGGGCTTCCGCTTGCGCAGGAATTGTGCATTCTTGGCGCTGTAATGGGAGCTGAAACGCTGCGACCCGGACGGACCAGGGGCCGCTAGAGATGAAGGAGTGGAGATTACAGGCTGGAAGTCCTGGTACATCACCGGAGGTGGCGCAGGAGGATGATAGGTGGTGGCCGAGGGCATAGGCCGGAACTGCTGCTGCTGCTGCTGCAGTTTTATCTGGGAATGGGGATAGAGGAGTGCTCCGGCATAGGCCGGCTTGTAGGTGGTGGCAGCCACACGGGGATTGCCGCCAGGCACCGTACTCCGGGGCACGGCATTCGGGTCGGGTGTGAGGAACTTAATGGGATCCGGGGGGGTGTACGCATCGATAACCCTCGTGACTGGTGGTCGGGTGTACAGCTCTTGCAGATTCTCCTCGGTGTTGTTGTCCGTGTTGAAGGGCAGCACGAGCATCAGGGCCCGCATGCTGTCCGCCCGGCTCATGTCGCCCGCTTCGATGCTCTTCTCGTACTCCTCGCGCGTCACCTTCTCGTACAGCTCCTCGATTTCGCCGCTGGGATTAGAGGGTAAGTGTCACGTAGGTCCGGAAATTACCACGCATTTACTTACCGCGTCAGTCGTGGCAGGGCCGGATCGTTGGCCAGTATCTTTTGCACTTCATCGATCGTCTGCTCGATCTCTGGCGGCTGAAAGAAGCTCTTGTCCAGCTGTTGCTGCAGATAGTTCGTGCCCTTGTTGGCATTGGCGGTGCTGCCCTGAATGGTGGGCAGAGCCCTGACACCCAGGCTTCCCAGCTGCAGCAGTAGACACAGTGCCAGGAAGCACTCGAAGGAGCCCGGACCTTGTTGCATGATGCCGCCCCGGAGATCTAGGCGAAAGGAGAAGAAAGGAAAAGATACGATTTTTGAGAACTATCTATCTGGGGGTTCAGCATCATCCGAGAACATCCCACGGACAACCCATGGATTGCC